AATATCTATGGCAAAGGATAAATATCTTTCAGATAAGACAATTTTGTTTGTCTATGATATACACTAATATAACAGACCGATTAGAAAAGCAGAGCGTAGTTTTAAAATATTTTAAAATGTGAAGAATGATTTTCTGCAGTAAATCAATCCATTTACATGATCTTGCACAGCTAGAATTGTTATGATTCAAGAATTGTATCTTATAGTCAATGATCGAATAAATTTTCAAAGTTTTGCTTCATGTGAATCGGTATTTACATAAGAAGCGCAAGTGATCGGAAACATTGTCTAGAGTTGAGGCATCATTTGGTGGTAAAATTTTAATGAATTTTAACCGTTAACAAGGATCTGACCGTAAGTCCAAACTCCAAAGTCGGATCAAATCAAAAGAAACTTCTCAGTTCTCAAAAGTGAGTTCGGTCCTTGGAAAAATTTCCTTACTTCTCAGAACAGGATCCGACCCCGAGATCTGATTTGAATTAAATGCCAGATCTTTGAGTAGATCTAATTTTCTTGCTATCTCATTCATAGGCACCCGAATTGGGCTAAAAAGAGATGGTTTGCTGTGAGTTTACAGAGGAACTCTGTTTCTTTGTCTTCCATGGATAATCTATGGAGAGATTAACCGGTATTGATGCATACATACAGCTTCGGTAAACGTCTAGGTTTCCGTCCAAAAAGGACCGCCGGAGCGGAGTTGAGATCGGTTAATAGATAGTTGAAGAAATATGAGGGGGAGAGTTGGATGCTGGGATTATTATGGAAAGCAAGATGAGTTAAGCTGGGGATGCAGGAAAGCAAGAACGAAGGGGAGCAAGAAGGGTTAATTTCATTTTGCACCCTTTATACTTCAATTTTAGAAATGAAACGCTCTACTCCCTAAATTATAAATTTCGTCCCACTTCAATGCAATTCTTAGATGGAACGCGAAAGAAAACTGATACTGTACTAGAATAATAATTATCACATTCCATTAACTTATGAGTGTAACTGAAATGAAACAAAATTTTTTGGGGACAAAAATGTAAATTCATGAGACCCAAAAAAACAAAAAAAAACCCTCTCAATCCAATGACGATTCTTTTGTTGTACCTTCGTCTACTTATTCTTATTCATCTTATAAATTGAGAATAAATTGAGAATACCTTTTACTGATTTACAGAGCTGAAAAGTTGCTGTCACTAAGGTTCAAGAGTACTGAGGATCTCAAATAACAACCATGAAACCAATCTAACTGTGCTAGAATTTTCAAACCTAGGTTATCCATGAAATTGGTTAAACCAAAAAAAATTAGTCGAGGAATTCTAAAAGTCAGATGCAGTTACGAAAAATTGATTGTTTTCATATCACACCCTTTTTTAATCAATTTTGACATTGACCGCAAATGTCTCTTGTTCTTCAACATTAGTAGCATCATTGTTGTTTTGGTTGAGAATAATTCTTTTAGTTGGGATTTTTTTTTGGATATAGGGGTTTAAATATGGGGTGATGAAAGGATTGTCTACAGTCTGAACATGGTTTTGTGGGTTTCCAGAAAATTTGGATTTTTTGCTGTAAATTGAAAGTGGAAATTGGAAGCAGAGGTGCCGCTAGATTTGAAGGTAGGGTTGTATTAATTGTGGGTAATGTTGAGTGTGAGATCGAAGCATTTTTGGGAGCATGGATGGTCTTTAATTTCCTTTGGATTTGTTTTGCAGCGGATGACTATGTGGATATTCATTTTCAATGATGGAGAGATATGCATGTTATCGATTATGGTGTTGGACTTGGCTAAACCTTTGATTGTATGCTGTTGGCGATGGTGGTACCTTCTGTCTGGTAATAGAAAAGGAAATGAAAAAAAATGTAAGAATGAAGGAAGAAAAAGAAAATTTGTTTGATTTTTAAGAGGTTTTAAGGGTTTCTGAATTGACATTTATGTACCAATACATCAGGTTAATTTTAGTTAGGGTTAATTACATTTTATCCCCTTAAAGAATACTCTATTTCTCAGTTTATCCCCTAACCTTTAATTGTGCTCACTTAACCCCCTTTAGGATAAAATTGCCCTTGCATTATTTTAACTTTTCATTTACCTTGTTTTCCTTCCTTTCTTTTATCTCTTTTTATTTCTTTTAAATGAACAGTCAAAATAATGCAAGGGCAAATTTTGTCCTAAAGGGGGTTAAGTGAGTAAAATTAAAGGTTAGGGGGTAAACTGAGAAATGAGGTATTTTTTGAGGGGATAAAATGTGATTAACCCTTTTAGTTAAAATGATAAGTTAACGGAACATGGGAATTATTCTGTTAATTTTGAGCATTTTCGAGAAGAATTGTATTTAAGTTGGACAGAATTTATAATTTAGAGAGCAAAGCGTAGTTTAAGGACACAAATGATAGTTGGAGTAAAGAGTGCAAAGTGGAATTAACACAACTAAGAGCTTAAATAGCAAATGTCATTTCAAACAAACTGAAAATGGGATTGTTTAACGAACAAATCATTGTTAGTATATAGGATAGAAGGTTTTAAATACTTGCAAAGTTTGATATTTTAAGGGTTAATTACATTTACCTCCCTGAGTTTTGGCCAAACTACCAAACAAACCTTGAGGTTTGGCCAAATAACAGATACCCCCTTTTAAGTAACGTCTGTTAAATATTTTGGATGGAACTAGTGTAAAGACCAAATGTCCAACTGGTATCAACTGGACTAATTTTTTTTTTTTTTTTCAATTCCATGAGGAAAGAATTTGACAATACCTAATTACTGTTTTCTACTTTTAAGAAATCCATTTAATGCTTTTTAATTTTATATTAATCTTCTTCCTCACTAAATTTTAAAATATTTTAAAGTAGCTGCCATGGAAGCGGCAGTTCCTGGCCACCTCCACCCCAGGCTATCACCACTGAATAGCGAAATCTTGCCAAAGTTATAGGATGTGTTCAATTTTTAGAGTGGATCATGATTTGAACCTCAAGTTTCGCAAAAATTGATTGAAAAGTTACCAAATAAGAGTAACCAGTCGTGGCCTTCTTCTCCACTCGCACCCAAACCAGAATTCATGAACTTCACAAGAAATAATGCCCACGAAAAACAAACCAGCCTATAGATATAGAAGGAGACGTCAACAATTCTCTAATCAAGAGCCAAATACCAAAAACCTCAAAACTCACTTCGAAAAATCCCTGAAAATTGAAAGCCCATTTTCCTTTCAAACCACACATTCCTAAACTAGAATTGTCATAGAGCGTATAACATAAAAAAATGACTCTAAACTAGAATTTGGACCTTGATTCGAAGCAAAACTTGTCATCCTGTACACCACTATTGCAACAGAACAATAGAGGCATGGGATAGGATCTTATCTCCCCATCTATTTTCCTGGAAACCTCACAGTCACAAACCCATCACCAGGCAATCTCCAAATAGCTAGATGCTTTGTTTGAGTAGAATATGCGTTCAAAGGCCATTTTGCAGGCCGGGTTAGGAAGACGGAGCTTTGTATTGGCAAATTTTTTCAGAGGATTCTTTTTTCTAGATTTTGTTTTACTCCTTTCTTTTTTCCTTGCCATTTTTTCTTTTCGTTCCTTCTTTTTGACAATTTTTTTGTTAATTTGCCCATTTTCTTTTAACAATTGCGGTTTCAAAATACAGCATTACAATAAAGTCTTTTTTTTTTTTCCTCTCCCTTTCAGGTGCAGCAATTCTGTTAGTATACCATAGAGAAATGGAAAAAGAAAACATTCTTTTATTACTTCGAAAATAAAGAAGTTAAGAGTTTGTCTTGATAAATGGGCACCAGAAGGATAAATTTGGGTTAACACAATAGCTTTGTGCTGACATCAGCGGATTCTCTAACACCTTAGGACGTTAGGGAGGTTTTTGATAAACATCTGTTTATTGCAAGGGTGGATTGTTATTTCGTCAAACCTCAGGATTCAGTTGGTAATTTGTCCAAACCTAAAGGGAGGTATATGTAATTAACCCATATTTTAATTCAAACTGACAAGCTAAAAATGGGATTGTTTAACGAACAAATCATTGTTGGTATATAGGCTAGCAGGTTTTAGATACTTGCAAAGTTTGATATTTAAATTCAAACTGAAATAAATGTGACATACATCTAAATTCGTAAATACATATATTAATAGTTAACAGTGTAAAAAAGATTAATACTTAATGATATTATCAAAGCAACAAAGTCTACCTTCATATAAGTTGGTATTTCACATTGCTTCATAAACTAATTTTGTCAAAACAGTCTCTAAAAAAAAAAAAAGGAAAGTTTTGTCAAAACATTGCTGTTTGCCCCCTATACACTTTTTTGATTTCCTTTTCTCCCCGCTAATGGAGTCTTTTTTTACCACGATGGTAGAATGTTCCCATTTCCCAATTGACACCTTACCCAATTTGTGCTTCTCGCGAATTTTGACCCTAAGTTGGGCTGCCAGAGCCAGAGGACGCGACTTGCTCATGGATAAATTGTTCACTCAAAAATCCTTTTCCCTTCTGATTTTTTTTTTCTTGACAATTCCTCCAATTATTTAACATTTTATCTTTTCTTTTCATTTCTCCTTCCCCTTCACTTCCTTCTTTAACTGTTCTTTCAACCCGACTAACATTTTACGTTCAAAATCATCAAGATATGGCATAAAAGTATGAACCGCACCATGGAAAGATCCACAGCTTTAAGAGGCAAGATGACTTAATTGAGCAATACATGGATATGGTAATAAGGGAACATATGAATTTATTGTACAATTGATCCTCACCTTTTATCCCCTTATGTTGTTCTGATAGTAACTGAAATTTCATATAGTAGCAAAATCAAAATTCAAAGAAAGTGGGAGCAAGACTACGCATTGTAAGTATAATGTATTGCATACTATCCAAGCATAATATGGAAGCATTAAGATGTTCAAGCAGAATTGAGCCACTCAAGCAGAATTGAGCCAATTGACTGCCGCCAATGGACTTCAACTTGTGGGTTGTATTAAATTCTTGAGTATACCTGTAGATATTAAGCTTCAAAATTTTCTTGATACACCCTGACACCAAGGAAAACATCTTTAATGAGATGTAATTTTCTGACAACTTCATTCATATGCATCCTGTCATTTGGTAATCGTGCAGAGCACTTGAGTCCAATTTTCAATAGGGAAATAATGCAATCAATCTCTCTTCCAACATTAATAGTTTTCCCTCCAGGAGTCACTCCTTCAAGAAGAAGCAACGGGTCCACGATCTCAGGAACTCGTTCATGCAAAGCCCCATTAACATAGTTATGTAGATCAAGGTCGCCCACGAATATATCATCTGTTGGCCTCCTTCCTGTAATCATCTCTAGCAAAAGAATGCCGTAGCTGTAGACATCCCCCTGAGTGGATGCCGCAAGACCCATTCCATACTCTGAGATTTTGTTTCTAGACATGTTATTATTGGGTAGTAAAATAAAAACTATAAAAAAAACTAAGTGATTAAAATTAATCAAATGTTAGATTGGGGCATAATGGACCTTCTTTTATAACACAAAGTGACTTAACTAAAATTAGCTACTATGCATCAGTGATTAGAGAAATTAGCTCCTATGCATCAGTGATTAGAGATCTCATCGTAATTATAATAAAAAAAATTAAAAAGAATTAAATGTCCCAAAGTTCTATATTTCTGCGCACAATTAAGTAAATTCTTGACCATAAAAATTTGTGTTACCTGGGGCTGCGTAGCCGATTGTTCCTTTTATAGCAATAGTACTGCTGCCTTCTTGCTCGGAAGATCTGTTGACGGGTTTCGGGAGAAGCCTTGCCAATCCAAAATCACCCACATGAGCAACAAGATCATTGTCAAGAAGAATGTTACTTGGTTTTAGATCACAGTGAACAATCTCAGCTTCGCAGTGGTTCTGAAGACACTGCAATGCAGAAGCCACATCAATTGCAATATTTAGCTTCTGAAGAAGATTAAGACTTCTTGAGCTTGTTGCCTGATCAGTTGTCTCTGAAGGATGCAGCCACAGGTCCAGATTTCCATTTTCCATCAACTCATAGACTAGAGCTTTGAATTCATCACCCTTGGAATCAATACTGGAGCAATAACTCACGATAGAAACGAGGTTTCCATGGCGAATATTTCTCAATGCTTTGCACTCGGCCTTAAAACTTTTCGAAGCTCCGTTCTTTTGAAGATCAAGAACTTTGACTGCTACAAGCATATTGCCATGTTTTTCTAGCCTTCCTTCGTAGACAGATCCAAAATTTCCTGAACCAATTAAGTTTTCTGGAGAAAATCCAGAAGTTGCACGAAGAAGTTCATGGTAAGAAATTTGTAAGAGCTTATCAACTCTTGTAGCCATGGTAGAGAATCCTGCCACCATTCTTCTTTCTCCTTTTTGACAAACGAAGAAATACAACAACAATGCACCGAGAACCAGAAGCGTTGCTGGTAAAACAATGGACAGCAATATGACAACCTTCAGCTTTCCTCTGTTTTTCCCCTTAATCACTGGGCAAGGTGGGAACTCCAATTCTGGAATGCCTCCACAGAGTTTGTTGTTGCCAGTCAATGATATTTGACTTGCATTACTGAAAATTCCAGTGTTTGGTATCTCGCCCTCAATGTCGTTGTAGGAAAGATTTAAGTAGCTCAAAAACTGAAGCTTCTCAAGTTCTCTGGGTATTGGACCAGTCAAGTTATTACTTGAAAGGTCTACTTGCTGGATGCTCTTCAAAGAAGCCAAATTTGGTGGAATTGTTCCTTGGAAAAACTTGGATTGCATATAAAGATTCTGCAGATTTGAACAGTCAGCAAGTGATATGGGTATACCTCCAGCAAGTTGGTTGTGGGAAACATTGAAATCCACCAAATGTATAAGCTTTCCAACTTCTGGAGGCAGAGAACCACTAAACGAATTTTCACCTATTTTCATGTACATCAGTGATGAGTGCGTCTGCAAAAAATGAGGTGATATAATTCCAGTGAAGTTGTTTTGAGACATATCCAGATATTGCAAATTTTGACAGTTCATAAGAACATTGTCAAATATATTGCCCCCTTCAAACTGGTTAAATGATAAGTCCAGACGGTATAGACCTGTGGCATTGCATAGGGTAGAGACTATCTGTCCTGACAACTCATTTTGGTCTAGACTTAGAAATTGCAAATTTTGTAATTTGTCAAAATCTCTTGGAATGACCCCTGAAAGAGAGTTTAATTCAAGGCCAAGGAGATATAGGTTGACAAAATTTCCAAACCCTTCTGGAATGGTTCCTGACAGTTGATTTCCCCCCAGGAGTAGTTCTGTGAGTTGATTTGAGAGATTGGCCATGACTCTACGTATATTACCTCCAAATTTATTGCCACTCAAGGAAAGATTTCTGAGATTACTGCAGTTGGTCACTGATGCAATAAAGTCCAAGTCTCCGGTAGAATTATTCCCAAAGAAATTAAGAGCAAGATTTAATAATTGAAGATTTGTAAGATCTCCTAAATTAGTTGGGATTTGGCCTTTAAAATTATTTCTAGCAAGATCGAGTACCTCAAGCCCAGAAGCATTAGTGATTGAAGATGGAAAGTTTCCGTACATGTTGTTCCCCCCAACATACAACATTTGTAGATTTGGTAGGGTGAGACCTATGTTGGTTGGGAGATTGCCATGAAAGGAATTGCCGGTCACTGAAATGACAGTAATGGCTGAACTATTAAAGATGGAGGCAGGGATTATACCAGATAGTTTATTTTCAGCAGCTGCTAACAGAACCAACCTTAAGAGCCCCATCTCCATGGGCAAATTTCCCTCCAGATTGTTCAAGTCGAGACCGATTCGGATCAATGATGATAAGTTCCCAATGGAAGAGGGAATCTGTCCCGTCAAATTGTTTGATAAAAGATTTAACTTTTCAAGCTTCTTCAAATTGCTCAGCTGATCAATAGGAATCTTGCCTTCTAGCTTATTCTCCCTTAGGCTAAGTGTTATCAACTCTGAGCAGTAGCTCAGGTTTGCTGGGATTTTTCCACTGATTGCGTTACTTGACAGGTTCAAGGCTCTCAGCCTGAAGAGGGGACCGAATTCTTGGGGAATCCCACCATGGAATTGATTCTCCCCAAGTTCCATGAACCTCATGAAGCTGAGATTTCCGACATGAGGAGATATGGTTCCAGACAACTGCTTATCCCTTAGAGTCAAGGCCGTCACCCTTTGATGTCGAGTACTGCAGGTGACTCCTTCCCACTGACAATGGTGTTGTGAATGGTTCCAGGAATTCAGGACTCCAAACGGGTCATCATATATCTGATTCTTGAATTCAAGCAGAGCCAGGCGATCAGTCTCATTTTGAAATTTTTTGGAAGCTGAAACATGGCTTACTGAAAAGGTCACGGCAACTGAGAGTAGGAGAAAAATGGTTGCAAATGTCGATGAGCGAAGTCCCCACATGGTCTTTGTTGGGATTGGCTACAAACTGATGATTGAATGATAAAAGTTTCTGCGGAATGGGAACAATAATGTTTGAGCTGTTATAGAATCTTGTGTATAGCCCACACAATTGGAACTAATTTTCTTGGTATATTTCTGCGGAAAATGAGCTAAACCTCGTTGTCAGAACTTAATAGAGAAATGGTCCGTAAGCTTCCACCAACTTGCAATTTACGCGTATCGACCATGACTAATACTTTTCAAAGCTGGGATTAATGTGATCATCTACCAGAGATGATGATTAACAGGAAGCCTTCATTTGTGTGGAGTACTTGATCTTCCCAATTAACACAAATCCCAAGAATCTTGATATGCTAGAATCTGTCGGTTGACTTGGTTGAGTTCTGTTTAATCTGTTCCCAATTTTTCCCTGTTTTATATTGTTTTAATGCCATTTTCTCAAAAAAATTTAAATTTTTTTTAAAAAAGAAGGGTTTGTTTTTTATGTTATAATTTTTAGTTTTTTCTCTTTTTTATGTTGTGATAGGGTATAATTTGTTAGTAATTTTATTATTAATTTCCCCTTTCATCCCTGATAAATATTGTGTTAATTGCACATATCTACTTATATTTGGTTTGTGGCCTTTATTTCAGGGGTAGAACAAAAAATTACCAAACATGAGGGATGTTCTGGAGAAAATTGAGTCTTCAAGCGAGTCACAGGCCAGGGCCACAGTGCTGAAAAGAACTGGACTCCCATGCCTTTATTCTTGTTGACCAAGAGGATTACACCCGGAGACTTAGAGAACTAGAAGGCTTGGGCCTTTGACTTCGGTGGGGACCACGGAGGAAAGGAAAAGGGCTTTGGTCCTTTGGTTCTAAAAGAAGAAACAAAGCAACGTAAAAAGCCTAAGGGAACTAAGAAGAAATGGGGCAGCTTTTGGCCAATTGGTGGGGACCACTGGATATCTTTCCTTTGGCTTTAAATAGGGAGCTAACGTACGAAGATGAGGGGGCCAGCTTTTAGTTCTTTTGCTTTAGTTCAGTTTTTAGTTTTCCTTTCTTTTCCTAGGACTGGCCTCTGACACACGCCAGGTGTTTGACAATATTCCCCAACGGGGAAAACATCCTTCATTCCTTACTTTTTAGTACAAAACAATGTCTTCGCAATTTATTAATTCATGTGGTGATTTAATTATGTGGCGTGGCTAAATCTTCCATCTAGTCAAGGGTCAACTCGACGGCGCAGTCCCGAAAATCTGTGAGATCTAATTAGTTTTCACGCGTTCCTTAATTTATTCATATTTGCACATTGCCTGCTTGTATTTTCATGGGATTATTTTATTAATTGGATGTCAAGGGCCCGATGTTCAATGTGATTTATTAATCTCGTGCCAATTTAGTCAATTAAATCCGTAATTGTTTGATTGATTAATATTAGTGGCAACTGGTGTGTTTGCACATTAGGGGAACGTGCAATCTAATTTAAATAACCCTCGTAGCGTGTTATTGGTTAGGGCTAGGTTTTTCTAATATTAATGCAATTGGAAAATTAATTCCTATGGTCGTACCTAGGAGTATTTGCTGATTAGGGGTAATCAACGGTCGTACCTTGGTTATCAATAATTTAAGGAAAAATTGGTCATCAGACTATAACTAGCCTATTAATAAATTAAGTGAACCTCTCCTGCATCAATGATCGGATAAGTGGACTGTGCCTGAGTAGTTGCATCCTTGGCTAGAATTTATTTATTCCTGACTAAATTCCTGCTATATTTGTGCTAGTGATTTATTCATTTTTAATTAAATTGTCTAATTATTTTTAGTTTCATTCCGGTAAAATCCCCCCCCTTATCAATTGGACTTTAAAAAGAGACAAATATCTCCAGTCCCTGAGGAGACGACCCTACTTGCCACTGTCTACTATTCAGTAATTTTTGTCAATTAATTAATACTGGTATATCGGATTAAGCAAACTTTTCGGGAACAGGGTGAATCAAGTAACCCATTGCACACCTAGAGTCCCTGCTCCAGTACCTAGGATTAATTATTGACTGCTTTTAGTGGTAGTTAGGTTTTATATTTATTACTATTATTGCACAGGCTGACGACCTGTCAATTTTTGGCGCCGTTGCCGGGGACTGGCGTTATTATTTGTTTCTTTCTAAATTCAATTTTGTCCTAATTTTCTGGTTTTCTTCTAGTGTATGCCTCGATCTTGTCGCACAGGTGATTTGGTTTTTGATCTTGAGGTAGAGAAGACCGCGCGTAGAACGAGAAAGGAAACCAGACAGCTCAGAGAAGAGCACTCTAGTGCTACATCTCAAAGACCCGAGTCAGAAGTTGAACCAACAGATTCGTTTGGTAACACTTCGAGTGACGCTGACCAGGAGGAGTTCAGCATGGCTAATGCACAAACATTAAGGGAGTTGGCTGCTCCTGATTTAACTCAGCAGCCTTTGTGCATTACTTTCCCCGCTTTAAATGACAACATTCCATTTGAACTAAAATCTGGTCTGATTCAGCATTTACCCTCTTTTCATGGTTTACCAGGTGAAGAGCCGTATAAGCATCTGCAGGAGTTTGATGTCGTTTGCAACAGTATGAAACCCCCGGGAATCACAGAAGAGCAGATAAAAATGAGAGCATTCCCCTTCTCCTTGAAAGATTCTGCAAAGGACTGGCTGTACTACCTGTCACCAGGTAGCATCACCACGTGGGGCCAATTGATGAAAAAATTTCTGGATAAATATTTTCCGGCGTCCAGGGCTGCAAGCCTAAGGAAAGAAATTTGTGGGATCAAGCAGCATCCCGGAGAGTCACTTTACGAGTATTGGGAACGGTATAAGAGCTTGTTGCGCAGGTGCCCCCATCACCAAATAAGTGAGCAGTTGATCATACAATATTTCTATGAGGGGCTCATTTTTAGAGACAGGAGCATCATAGATGCTGCAAGTGGAGGGGCACTGGTGAACAAAACCCCTCAGGAAGCACGGGAGCTAATAGAGGGGATGGCAGAGAATTCACAGCAATTCAGTATAAGAGAGGATGTCCCAATACGTAGGGTGAATGAGATAGAGACACCCTCTGTGCAGCAGCAGCTAAATGAGTTGACTGCGTTTGTTAGGCAACAGGCTGTGAGAAATGCATCACAAGCCAGGGTATGCGGGATTTGCACTGGTATGGGTCACTCTGCAGACATGTGCCCAATGATTCAGAAAGAAACTGGGGAACAGGTGAACATGGCTGACCACGCGCCCGCGCCAAGGAAGCAGTACGACCCTTACTCAAGCACCTACAATCCCGGGTGGAGAGATCATCCCAACCTCAGTTATGGAGGGAATAGGCAATCCAACTTCACGCCGAACAGGCAGTCTAACTTTGTGCCGAATAAGCCACCGGGGTACCAGCAGCAATACCAACCCCGACCACCTCCGCCCCCTCAACCTGGTTCATCTACGGATGAGATGCTGAAACAAATGATGACAACCATGGCGCAGAATCAGCAAAGGACGGAGGCAGCTATTATGCAAAATCAGCAAAAGACGGACTCCGAAATGCAGGACATAAGGAATCAGATAGGTCAATTGGCCACCAGAATGAACCGTTGGGAGTCCCAGAACCAAGGGAAGCTGCCATCTCAACCGGAGTTGAATCCGAAGAACGTGAGCGCAATGATCCTAAGGAGTGGGAAAGAAATTCAGGGGCCTGAACCTGGGATTCCTAAGGACAAGGATGAAGAGAAGATCGAAAATGAGCTCGAAAGGGAGGACAGCAATGGTGCAGATCCAAAGGTACTTCCTGACCCAATAATTACAGTTAAAACTAACCCGCCTCCTTTTCCTAACAGGTTGGAAAAATCAAAGAAGCAGGATAAGGAAAAGGAGATTTTGGAGGTTTTTCGCAAGGTTGAGATAAATATCCCCCTCTTAGACGCCATCAAACAAGTACCAAAATATGCCAAGTTCCTAAGGGACTTGTGTGTCAACCGAAGGCGATTGAGGGGAGATGAACGGGTCATTGTTGGGGAGAATGTGTCAGCGGTCCTGCAGAGAAAGTTTCCACCAAAGTGCGGGGACCCAGGTATGTTTACTATTCCTTGTAAGATAGGTAATACTGTGATCAGAAGGGCCATGTTGGATCTGGGAGCATCAATAAATGTCATGTCTAAGTCTATCTATGCTTCTCTAAAATTAGGTCCATTAAAAGAAACTGGAATAATCATTCAATTAGCTGACCGAACTAATGCATATCCTGATGGGTTGGTTGAAGATGTGTTGGTAAAAGTTAATGATTTGGTGTTTCCAGCTGATTTTTATGTACTTGATATGGATGATGATTACTCCCCTGATCCCTCACCTCTGTTATTGGGTAGACCTTTTATGAGCACAGCACAGACGAAAATTGATGTTAATAAGGGTATTCTGTCCATGGAGTTTGATGGGGAAATTGTGCATTTTAATATTTTTGATACTATGAAGTACCCCTCGAACTCCAACTTTAGCTCAGTTTTTTCTGTGAGTGCTATTGACCCTGTAGTGCAGGAAGTGTTTGAAACTGATGGCAGGGATGAGCTGGAGGTGGCTTTAACCAAGCATCTCGAGTTGGAGATAACTCCTCAGGTGGAGTGGAGTGAGGATTTAAAATGCACAATAGGGGCATTACACTCGTTGCAGACCACCACGAAAAGGTATGAAGTTTTACCTATTTTTACTCCCGAGCCTCACCAGAGGGTATTGCCATCTGTGGTGCAGGCACCTGTAATGGAGTTGAAACCTCTACCAGAGCACCTGAAATATGCATATCTAGGTGATAATGAGACACTCCCGGTGATTATCTCATCGGCACTGTCAAAAATCCAGGAGGAGAAATTGATTCGGGTCCTTAGAGAGCATAAAGAGGCAATAGGGTGGACAATCGCAGACATTAAGGGGATCAGCCCGACCATTTGTATGCACCGGATTAGGCTAGAAGACGATGCCAAACCTGTTAGGCAGGCTCAAAGAAGGCTCAATCCCCTC